TTTTTTTTATTGGTCTTATGGAGTATTCTAATTTGTTGAGATAGTGAGTTGGTGGGGTTTTGTTAAATGTGAGCCAAAATCATCACAATTAAAAGAGCCAAAGACTTAAACTACTTCAGTCTGTGTGCATTGAATTTATTTAATACACGAGTTTCACAATTTGAGTTGAATTACTGAAATAAATGAACTTTTCCACAACATTCTAATTTATTGAGATGCACCTGTAGTTCATGCAAGTAGTGTGCTACATTCCAAGCCTTCTGAAGTCATTTGATAGGTTTATGTAAGGAACAGACCAAAAGTTATTACTCGCTTAAAAAAAAAAGAAAAAAGCCTTTTAGTTGTTTGTTCTTGTAGCTCTTCAATTTAACCATTAAGTAGTTAACCACGATAAGTAGTTAAATAAAGACAGAACTTTCATTTTTGGGTGAACTGATTAGAAATTAGAAATAAAATATTTGGGGAAATAAATAAAAAATCTATTTAAATAAATTTGTGTGGCATAAATATGCTGTTGTTCTGGTGCTAGTTTCCATTCCATTTCCACCACACAAAAAATTCTGGTTCCACACTGGCCCTAAAATCTTGCTGGTCTGGAACCAGGAACAAATAACCAAATAAAACTTTAGATAAAGTTTTTCTAACAACAAAAGTTTAGCTGTACTACTGTGTTAACGTCTACACTAAGCACTAAGAATGATGATGTATTTTTGTAGGGCAACCTGGAAGTTAGCATCACCCTGGTTCCCTCAACAAAAAACACAAACCTTATTTCAGGCATTAACCAAAATCCCATTCAATAAAACCATTGACTTCAGAAAAAAATGCCTTGTTTACAGGTTTTGGTCTACAAAAATACATCATGCCTGCAGCACTTAGTGGAAAAGAGGTTTGCGTAACACTGTTGGGTCATGAACCACAGTTTGAGAACCACTGTTATACAGAAATTAGCAACAGCAGAAATCTACAGGGCAACGAATGCAAACTCCAGACGTACAGCAAGTATGAGCCACATCTGATCGCTTTGATCTCTGGGTTATTTTGAGGTGTTCCCTCAAACGCATTTCACACAAAATATGCACCAGTTCACCATCACTCTGCACATGCTGATGATATGCGGTTCACAAGAGCTGTTCACACTGAGATTTTATCACGGGAAGTTGTCAAGTGAATGTGAATGAGTGTACATTACTACGACTGGACGCCAAAATGTTATTGGTGTGCTGTGCAACTGGCCTTAGCTAGAAAATATGATTACAAATGAGAATCTGTTTTGACAACAAATAATACATCATACGAATAAAATGAACGATTATTAACTAAACGCACTTAGAATGCCGATTCCCCACATGTAGGCAAAGAAAAATTTGTTCACAGAGAAAGCATCGGCTCATTGGAAATACATGCCTATACCCAGAATTTTTGCAAAACAGCAAAAACGTACAATTACATAAAATTCACTGTAGTTTCCAGCTGAAATGAACACTAGTGGCAGTAAAACACCAACAGCTTTTATTCCTTTTCATTCAAATTCTGATTACAGGGACAGATTATTTATTAATAAAGACTTATTTTCATATGGTTCCTTGCACAATATAATTTTATAACCTCATAACACTTTTACCGTAGTGAATGATTTGTAAACTAATACATTTTGATGTCTGCATCACATAACCAGCTCCATATGTATGGATTTTCTGACATAGTAAACTTGCTTGATAGCTCACCTGGTGCAGCAGGAGCAGGTTAGGGTTAGCTTACAGTTTAATATAGGTGGTCCTTTTTTTTAATCAAATACGATAGAGGATTAACATTTTAGCGGCACTTACGATACATACAACAACCAATGTAATAAAATGATCCCAGATTCACGTTCATCTTTTGGATAAAACTGAATGCGCTTTAAGTGCCACTCACTGGACATTTCACTTTGAACGTCTCGCAAATCTTTCAAGAAGGAATGTAATAACATTTTATAAAAAAGTTTTTCCAATGAGCCTGGGTTGCAGCAAAATTAACGTCTCTTACGTCTTGCTGACATTTGACTAAAATCTCTACAGGAGATGGACACGCATAAAACTTAAACTTTTCTCAACCCAAGAACGGCACGCAACAACAGATGCTTTGTCAAAGCTAATCGCTGTCAGTGTGAACACCCTTGAGTCATATTCACATTAGGAGCAAGGCATGCACAACACAACATGATACGGTAGGAGGCACACTCACAGAACACACCATGACACAGGATTTACACTATAGGAAATACAACAGACAGCACATAGATTGGCCACACACCAGTTACAGTTGTTCATGAACTTAATGGTCATTTTAACAGGTTTCAAAAAATTATGATATTTCTAAAGGAACACAAAGCAACAAACAGGAAGGCAGGCTCACCTCCTCTTCCTCCCAGTCAATCAAATCCCAGTCGTAGGTTAGCTCCGCCCTTCTCCTCTTCCAGAACTCAAGGAATACCGTGGCTGTGACAGCACAGGAGGAAGTGGTAAGATGTGAACACAATATGAACAAGAGCTTTCAGATACAGTATGGTTCTATTCAAAGTTACTTGAGGTGACTAAGAAAGGTCATCTTAGGCCCAAACATACATATGTACATACAGGAAAACAAGCACTTTAACTATGCAAACTCAATTTCAGGCATCGTTAAGAACGCAAATCTCCTTGCTGAAAGGAACAGTGTTGTGAGCATTTGCATAATCTTCTTCTACTGTGAGTTTTTTTTTTAGGTCAATTACTGTCTATAACAACTGCTGAGGAAGTTTGTTGAATTTCAACACATTTATAGCCCATCTAATCCCATTTGTGACCAAAGGTTTGAAGGGTATAAAATATGTTGTTGATGATTTTTTACAGTGTGTGAATAGTCACAGGACCAGAGCCGTTTCGTATTTGCCTCTCTGAAAGATGATGTCTGTGCCAAGTTCAAAAAATCAATATGAAAAACCTGTTATAATATAGATACAACTCTCACATTTGGTTCTTATGACATTTAAAGCAATGGTTCTCAACCAGGGGTTCCAGGGCCCACTACGGGGCTGTGGCAAACTTCAAGGGGGCACCTAATAAGTACTAAAATTATTTAAATTATTTAAATGTAGTTACATTAACAATCTTAATTAAAATGCATAAAAATACAATACAGGTGTACAAACTGCATAAAAATGCATAATAAATAAAATACAGAAGTACAAATTTAAACAGAAGTACAAATTTAAAGCACAAATTTTGTCTTTGTCTGTATTGACCTTTTTTAGGTTTATCATTAGATTTTTTTCATTTCTCCACTCCACAAGTGTTGCTTTTTTGCTGTTTATCAAATACTTTTGTCTTTTCCACAAACATTGCTGGTTTTGTGAAGTTGCACCAAAATAACCCGACAGGACTGGTTATAATAGCAATAATATAGAACGCATGATCACAGATCATCAACATTTTACACCAACTTTGAATTCGCAACCAAACAGGGTTTTGGATTAGAACTATCCATTTGATAAAGTTTCATATCTCACTGGTAGACATTCAGATTCAATCTAGCTTGCAGAATGTAATCAGCTAGCTTATTCAGAAGCATTAAATTTTCCACAGTATCACAGGAACTGATTTAGGCACTAAAAAGGAATACTAAATAAATCAAAGTAAAAATAAGATGTCACGGGTTGCCAGGGGAAAGGAGCTCGAAAGAGTACAAAGGAGGCAGATAGTCAAACGAACAGAGTCTTTAATAAATCTTCATGGGAACGTAGGAGAAAACAACCTCTTTGACGGAGACAGGACAAAGAAACTGAGGAAAGGCAGGGCTATAAATACTAAATCAAACGATGGACTAATAGGATGATTAAGGAACACAGGTGGAAACTAATGAACTAATCAAGCAACACAGGAAAACTAAGTCAAGGCAGGGAGAACAGAAACACAGAACATAAACGTGACATATCGCCCCCCTCTCGGAAGGCGCGTCCCGCGCCGTAACAGTTCCAATGGGGAGGGGGGCGGGCACCCTGGAGGCTGGTGCAGGGCAGGAACAGGGTGGAGACAAGGAAGGCCTCCAGGGCGGATCAGGGAGTTCGGGGCGCCATGGCGAAGCAGGCAGACTAGGAGGCCATGGCGGAGCAGACAGGTCCGGAGGCTATGGTGGAGCAGGCAGACTAGGAAGCCATGGCGGAGCAGGCAGCTCGGGAGGCCATGGCAGAGCAGACAGTTCAGGTTGCCATGGCGGAGCAGGGGACTTAGGAGGCCATGGTGCATCAGGCAGTCCAGGAGGCCATGGCGGATCCTCCGTGACCTTAGCCAGCTCGGCCACCACGGCCACGGGCATATGCCCCCTCCCCAAAAATTTTCTTGGGGAAAATTAGGAATTCTGGGGGGGCGCTCTGGAGGAGCGGGCACTTGAGGGCGCTCTGGAGGAGCAGGCACTGGAGGGCGCTCTGGAGGAGCGGGCACTGGAGAGCGCTCTGGAGGAGCGGGGCTGGCTAGCACAGCGGGCTCAGGAGATGAAGGAGGGCTGGACGGGACCAGTGGAGGCGAAGGAGACTCAGGAGACGAAGGAGGGCTGGACGGGACCAGTGGAGGCGAAGGAGACTCAGGAGACGAAGGAGAGTTTTCTGGAGCGGACTCAGGCAAGAGGATAGGAGCCGAGAACGCTGGGGGTAGCGCCATATCCAGGAGCGCTGAGAGGCACGCTGGAGTGGACTCTAGAGGGAGTGCTGGTGCCTCTTTTTCTGGGCTGAGGGCTGGAATGGATCTTGGACGGGCTCGGGAAAGCAGGGGTGGAACGGAGGGAGCGGGCTTATTGGAGCGGTATGTGGAGGGTGCTGGTTTATGGTGAACTGGAGTGCCAACATGCCTCCAGATAGGGACTGAACAGTTATCATTATTTACTTCAACAAAGAAATTAGAGCTATTTAAATTGAGAACAAAATTAATAAATTCTGCTACGGGTCTATAACAATCGTCTGGAGACAAGAATCTGAATAAATTATCATCGTCCAGTCCCATCCGCAAGCACGCATTAAGCATATGATCACTCCTGCTCACCAGATGGAAGACACTCAGGAACTCCTCCACATATTGCTCCAAAGGCCTTCCATCCTGCTGGATGTTTAGAAGAACGTCCTCAGCCCAGTCCATCCTTTTTGTTGGTCCTGTCTTCTGTCACGGGTTGCCAGGGGAAAGGAGCTCGAAGGAGTACAAAGGAGGCAGATAGTCAAACGAACAGAGTCTTTAATAAATTTTCATGGGAACGTAGGAGAAAACAACCTCTTTACACGACGGAGACAGGACAAAGAAAGTGAGGAAAGGCAGGGCTATAAATACTAAATCAAACGATGGACTAATAGGATGATTAACGAACACAGGTGGAAACTAATGAACTAATCAAGCAACACAGTCTTTACACGACGGAGACAGGACAAAGAAAGTGAGGAAAGGCAGGGCTATAAATACTAAATCAAACGATGGACTAATAGGATGATTAACGAACACAGGTGGAAACTAATTAACTAATCAAGCAACACAGGAAAACTAGGTCAAGGCAGGGAGAACAGAAACACAGAACATAAACGTGACAAAGGTAAGCTCTGTGAGGTTTTCATGTTAAATTTAACCATTTAAAAAAAAAAAACATCTGGGCTCTCTGAGTTCACATGTCCCTCGTTTCTACCAAAGGACTGTATGACCCACTTTTGTTGAAAGCAAAAGAGCTGGAAGGGAAGAAACAGAGTGAGAGACCAAAAGGAGAATTGTTTACTTTTTAAAGCCCAGTCTTCTTGCTGAAAGCTGTCTTCACATTGGAGCTCTCAGGATTTAGACTTGCAGATCCACCTGGGTCTCTCTGTCAGGAACAGTACAGTCCCCATCACAGTGTTCTATTATTACACTAATATGACTTTTGTCAACACTCCCCAAAGTAGTGGACTTTTTGAAGGAAAGCATCAAATACAATTTTCAGTTGCCACCCATCCCTCAAAAATACACGATTACCCTAAATTTAAAGATGAACTGAGGTGACCTGTATTTTCCATGCACATTGTTTAATAAACAAGGTCTTTGCAGTGGGGAAAAAAAGAATATAATATGTAATTAAATCGAATCAATTTCACAAGAAGAAATCAACTGCCATTCATCAGCCAAAAAATCCGGTTAGCTTTCTGCCTTGAACTGTTTCTGAGCATATCTGGATTGCCTTCATCATTTTCATTATTTACACAACTTCCTGTGTTTTTATTTTTACCTGGCAACTGTGAAACCCTTCCGTAACAAGTGCAGTGCTTTATGTGGAGGTCAAAGCAGCGCATGGTTATGTTAAGAGTTGTGTTGAGGTCCTGACCTCAAAGTCATGATGTCTTTGCTCTCTCAGTCATGTCATTCTACTTCTCTATTTGTTGTACTCTAGACGGCCATTTCTACAGCTAATCATTTGATCATCTACTGTCTTACAGAATAAAAAAACCCCAAACAAGCCATATAGCATACAAACAGCCATTAGTCATTTAACTTTCTGAATCAATTTTGTAGCTCATCTACAAACATTCAAGAGCTTCCAGCTGTACATCTGAGAAAAGGACCTCAAAGAGGCATTAATGCATTAGTACTTCTCATAATTACTGTACACTGAACTTCTGCATAAGGGGTTCCCTATCTATTTATATTTTTATTTAAAATGCATTTCATATATTGAATATGATAATATCACAATAATGACTGGCTTGTTACCTGTTGTATTGATTATTTAGAAAAAACTATTTAACTTCAGTGTAGCATTTTACATTCTCTCTCTTCCAGCTCTTCCAGAGAAATGTATAAGTTCCCTTTCGAATGGAACTCGCTGCATCATTGTTTTGACGCTATGGGAATGTTTCACGAGAGCCAGTGTCTGAAACACATCTGCACATGACAATTCCTGAATGGTTGAGCGTGATGACGTAGTGATATGGTGTACTACATCACCAAAACCATATTTAAAACTTTCAGTGAGGGATTGTCCCCTGAGTCAGTGAAAGAACTAACAAGAGCCACAGATAGGCAGCGTTCAGAGAACAAAAAATTATCCCTCTGTCAGATTTCTGGCAATGTGGTAGCTTCTGCCAAATATCTCTCAGTGGGTATTGAATACCATAAGAAAAGGCCACAGCAGGGATGTCCAATCCTGCTCCTGGTGGGCCACTGTCCTGCAAAGTTTAGCTCCAACCCCAATTAAACACCTGAACCAGCTAATCAAGGTCATATTAGGCATACGAGAAACTTCCAGGCAGGTGTGTTGAGGCAAGTTGGAGCTAAACTCTGCAGGACACCGGCCCTCCAGGACCGAGTTGTCTTCTGTCCACCTCGGTTCAACAACATAGTAACAACAGTAGTACGCCAAGAATCAGTCTTTTTCAACCAGGAACTGCAGTCTCTCCTGGAAAAAGGAGCCACAGAGCATGTACCTCTCCCAAAAGATTCAGGGTTGTACAGTCTGAACTTTATTTTACCCAAAAAGGATGGAGTGCTGTGTCCAGTTTTAGATCTGAGGGGCCTGAACCGTATTCTTCGGACATACTGTACAGGTTCAAGATGCTGACCCTCCAGCTTAGATCTTCTGTTTTAAGTGCAGAGGATGATCCACCACCCCGAGCTGGAGATTTGGAAACCATAGGTCTGGCCCCTGAGGGGTACCAGCTCCTAGATTCTGGTCTCCCAACCAAGGATGTTGAGACAATTCTGAGCACCGGAGTCCACCAGGAGGTCATATGTCCTGAAATGGAGACTCTATTTATCATGGTGCGAGCAGCGCCACCTGAACCCAGTCAGCTGCCCTATTGGTTCAGTGCTGGAGTTCCTTCAGGACTGCCTGTCAATGGATTTGACCCCTGCTATGCTAAAGGTCCTTGTGGCCGCAATTTCAGCTTTGTGTGTTGCATCTTCCAAGACTCTTGCCAGGGATGCATCCTTACAAGATGTTCTGCGGCAGGATGGCCCTCTCTGCACATATTCATCAGGTTTTATAGTCTGGACTCGGATTCAACCCCAGGGTCTCTTGAGGGTTGCTTGGGGTTTAGCCTGTGCTCAACAACTGTCTGTGCTATTCACAGCCTTGTGGGGCAGGCACTACTCTGTGATGTGGTGCCGTTGGCATTGAAGTTCCCATAACATCAAAACAATGACATGGCGTCGAGTTCGATTAGAAAGGGAACGTCTCATGTTATGTATGTATCGCAGTTCCCTGAAAGGGGAATGAGACACTGTGTCACGTGGTCAAACCCCGACCATGCCTGCGCGTCTTCTCAAGACAATTAGAGTCTGACGACATGTTGGCTTGGCATCTATTTATGGTTTCAGTGATGTACTACACCATGTCGCTGCGTCATCACGTTCAGCCAGTCAGGAATTGGCGGGTGCAGACACGTGCTTCAGGCACTGGCTTGCGTGAAGCATTCCCATAGCATCAAAACAGTGGTGCAGTGTCTTGCTCCCCTCTCAGGGAACTGGGTTACATACATAAAATGAGAAGTTTTTTTTAGTATAACTGGGAACTCATAGGCTTCTAGCCATCTATTAAAGGTCTAATGCTTGTGTGCTTACTGTTAAATTATTATTTGAGTTAAAAGTGCCAATGAGGTATTTTAGCATGCATCTGCATGAAAAGAAAGAGACTGTCGAGTGATACAAGAAAAATGAAAATAGCACTGTTTTGTTCCCACAGACAATTAAATATATAAAATTTAGACTTCAGAATGTAAAAATAAGCATTGTAGTGAGCAACCAATTAGAATCAATTATTCCAAAGAGCCATAGAAAGATAACTTGGGATTTGCTTCTGCAGATCAATAAGGTTGACACTCCCAATAGTCTGCAGTAAGGACATATATTTAATTGGTATTTAAGGTTAGCTTTTATTTGTACACATTTTGTTCCATTCTAAGCTTCTAGAAAGCTGTTGGCGGATTTCCAATGTGTTCATGGGTGGTCATCGTTGTAAAGCTTTTGCCTGAACTATAATTTGTTTCTGAGATGCCTGAGGTCTTGACAACAGAACTTCATCCTAACTAAAGCCATCTTTTTGAGCGGTTCATGAATTTCATGAATTAACTTTAAAAGCAATTTAACAATTTGTTTATAGCTTTTGTTCACTATTTACAATCATTTTTTATCAATTAAGGGGTTTAATTAGTAGCCAGGGTAGCACAGTTTATTGCAGCTACCCTAACTGATAGTGTTAATAGCATATGTGTCATGCATTGTTTTTATAGCTATTTTTCCAGCAGTTAAAAATATGGCTGTGACTAATATGTTGCTTTGTTTAAATCCCACACACGTCACCTAGAGTTCTGCACCTGAATGTATCATACAGTTCAATAATAAGCATGGCCACAAAGGGCATTAGTGTAAACTTGTACAGTTAGTTTTTCCTTTCAGGTCAACTGTTGTTATGGTGGAGCAACATTGTTGAAGATAATTTTTCTGAGCTAGTTAAACTGCCAACATATTTTTAACTAGCTATTGTACTTGAATAATAAAAATTTGGTTAAACAGCACATTTGAAGGTAAACATCTACAGCCCTGTAAATCTCTCAGAGAACTTATCTACCAGCCCGTAGAGTCTCCTGCTCACATTACTTTCCTCTAAACTCACTCCTGGGAAGTGTTTCTTTGGCTTCAGCCAGTCAATCACACTTTATAATGTGCCTACAATTATCAAGCATTAACTCACCTGTGATCGCTTCTAGCCATCCTTCAACACTTATCTATTTATCCCTCCTCGTGTTCAGAGGAAAAAACTGAAGTTCAAGCACTTTTGAAGTATTTACATGTTTAGGCTGTAAGTGAGGTCTACTGTGACCTGATTGGATCATTTGTTGTAATGTAGGACAAAGCAGTGATTGATTACAGCTGCTTCTCTTGGGCTTTTGAGTGAATCCTATTGTAGCAGACCACAGACTGCTATAGATTCTTCATCCGCTGAAGGAAGCCTCTTTTATAATTACTTAATTTGTACTTTAAACCAAATGCTGACCTGTCTGTCTTTCTGCTGGTGAATGAGCACTGATTAAATCGAAAAGATTCAAACTCACCCCATATTGCCATGAAGATAGCAAAGAAGACTGTGCCTCCATTGTCAAAAAGATGGGTCACCTGGTGGGCAAAAAAGAGGCAATGTATTTAAGAATGTATAATTAGGAAATTAGTCAAATCTGATTTTTAAATCGGTCTTATGACAATTTGTAACCATTTTACAAGTTTTACATTTTTCTCATTCACACAATGAGCCACATGAGGTCATGGGATGAGGTTATGAATTTCAGCAAAAAAAGAAAAAAACCTATCCTGCCTCATATGTGCCTCTAACTAAGTTTCTGCAAAACTCAAAAAATGTATTCAGTTGAAAGAAACACTAGAGCCAATAAAACTTTTATGCTTTTCCACACAAATTATGATTCACGGGGCCGGAGTTTTTAATTTTAACTTGCACAATATTATGTTATGACCTCAAAACAATTTTAACATGCTGCAAGAAAACTGGTACTTTTGAACATTAGTGTTACATATAGAGCTTCATATGTATGGGTTTTCTACCACAGTAGGTTGGGTAGCTCACGCGATACGGCGATGCACTTGTGAGGTGAAGCGCTCCGGAACAAATCCTGTGAAACTATTACCAACGTAATAAAAACACGGCCACAGTCACATGTTGAACACGCGTTTTAGCTCCACTCACTGGACATTTCACTTTGAAACTGCCATGAAATGTGCAATAAGGTACGTAATATTGGTGTTGCAGAAATGTCTCCACATGCACATATTTCCAATGATCCTGTGTTGAAAAAAAATCAGGACTTAAGCCTCCATTTATCTTCAAGCAAAATTGAAGAACAAACTGGTATGGCTTCATTTTAAACAAAATCAGACCAAAACGCAGTTTATTTGGAGTTTGTTTCACAAGTTCGAAACAGCTTACCAAAGCAAACCTTACTGAACATTTTCAAACTACCAGTGGTCCATGGCGATTACGTGATAGGAAGGTGTGCTATGTGGCTCCGCCTTCTTCGACATGAATCTCTACTCCATTTCATTTCTTCTTTTCAGTCAGTACATTGTATAAAGTGCTATATAAATAAATGTTACGCAAATTTTTGTTGTGTGCTTATTTTGTCATTGAGAGGAAAGCGTGGAGCACATATTTACATATTCACCTAAATGTGCTCCCAGCAGTGTGAGCTGCATCGGGATGTTCTCTTATAGTATACACTGCTTTCTACCCCTCAACTTATTTTTACCCCTAAGTGAAGAAGGAAAAAGACGTTTGCTGTGAGTATATCCTTAAGAGGTATTCATTCTGATATCAATTTGCAGCAATGAAGCGGCCAATATATGCAATTTAATGAGAATTTCCATTTTGTGGTAACAAGAGCAACAGAAAGCACTGGCACTGAAAGACCACCTACTCACATAATCCTTGAGCCAAAAGACAAACTTTGCCAGCTACATCATTTGGAAAAGCCCAACCAGATGCACTCACAAGACTTCACATGATGTGTAGTATGCCTGACAACAACATGCAATTACACAGTGACATAGTACTGTAAGTGAGTAAGTGATGTATGTAGGTACAAAATCAGAGACCCCAGGATGAGACCCCAAGGTTCGGTGCTAGGAGTTTGCAATGTTGTTTCACAAGTTCTCTTGATAAAATTATTTGGCAAAAAGGGTAATCATATGGTGTGCTTTCCATGAATGGATGCTTGGTCTTGAACTGAGATTAAGCTTTGTAAGGACAACATCGAACTATAGGGTTAAAAATGTGGGCCTAAAGGTGGAGATGGGGAGGAGGTGGAATGCTGAAGAAATGTCATGGGAGAGAAGTAAACTTAGCTGCTGCTTATATACCCTTGAAACATGATTGACAGGATAAGGTTAATAAGCTCCTTTCGAACTTGCATTATGAACTTCCTTAAGAAGCAGGAAGTGAGACAGAAGAAAAAGATTTTGGAGGAGGAAATTTGAGCTGTAAGTCGTGAGGAGCATCTGAGGGCTTGGCAGGAGGTTTTATGTACAGCTCATATAATTGTTTATTTAACCTGCGTGGAAAGAGTATATTGACATTTAATCCTTTTGGATATGGGAGTGGCAGGACTTGAATGGATTTTTTATTCTTCAGCAGAACTCCTGTTGAGTGAATTTTGAAGCGAGTTTGAAGAACCGTAACCGATGTTTTTGAAAGCAGAGGAGTAGCAGGCAGGTATTAAATCCCTTCTAAGCGGAGGAACCAACGGTGGGTTGTAAAAATAATCCTCAGAGGTGAAGATTTTGCAACCATGTGACAAAATCGTTTCACTGGTGTGGGTGGGACCAGTGGGAAAGAATTGCTGAAAGGTGTAAGGACAGTAGCTGATAACATTTCCATTGTTACCGCTGGCCCGTGTCCAGGCTCACGACACAGTAGTGGGTTGCCGAGAAAGAACTGTGACTATATTGTCTTCTGAGCTATGAAAGAGCAATCTTCAAGCAATAAAACTCTTCTGGGCAGGAACCAATTATTATGTGTATTTTATTCAAATATTAGCCTCTCTCAGGCATGTCACCACCATGTTCCCACGACACAAAAAACATCTTTTAGTCCTTAGTACTGGCTGCACAGCTTGGGGAATCTGTGTTTGATTTGCATGTTGAGAATCCAGGACCAAACTCTAATTTAAAACATATGAATATCTTTGACTTCAGACAAAACATGCTTTCCTAATGAGTCTACAATAATAAAAAAGACATTCTGAAAAACAAGGCTGTTCTATAAACCATGTCTTTAAACTGAAACATCGAATAGAAACATCTTTTCAGCAAAACAAATTGTATTTGCCTTAAATTGTCTACAGGAATAAAATCTTTATTTATCGACACACAACCAAGATGTATTGTTTTCTTGACTTTCATGTTGTTTGTCTTGGTTTTCTTGAGTTTTCATGTTCCCACAGAACAGCATCGTGAACTAATTACAAGGACAGATGCCAAGATGCAAACTGACTCAAGTAAATTGAATCGACGACACTATCGGGAACATTACATCACATCACAAGGGCCATTTGAGTGACTGGCTTATATTACACCAAAACATTAAAAATCTGTCAGTTTTACTGAACTTCTAAAATTTTCTAAGGGGTCTTATGTGGTTTATGTCAGTAGTAGGTGGATGTACGGTACCTTTGCATAGACACAACTATCACTCAGCGTCCAAGAGCTGCAGTTGCCTTCACACATGGGGCACATGATAGTGGTGTTGGCCTCACAGATCTCTTTACTGTAACACAACAATCGTGAATCGGTGCTTTATTTTAAATAAACTGTAGGGGAGGAATGAATGAATACTAGTGAATGAAAATGGCATCATTACAGGTAAAGTTTACAGGATTCTCTTTTTTGACATATGGAATACTGGGACCTGGTCCAGGCACACTGGGGGTTATTCTGAATTAACTGAGCATACCTGCTGGGACTGACCTTACTTGGCTGGAGTCCATTGTGAAAAGCCCATAGAGGAAGACGAAGAGGCCGACTAGAGCAGCAGGGATCAGCATACCTGTATACCAGCCCAACCAGGCAAAATACAGCCCAATCTTCTCCCCAAAGTACCGCCTATGAAACATCAGTAAGAAACAACACTCATTAGGACTCAGTTCATTTTACAGCATTTATCAATGTTGATTTATATATAAAAATACTTCTGTTCAATTTTACTTCATAATGAACTGACCTATGTTAACATATACATGTAAATATATACATATATATATATATATATATATATATATATA